AACTCCTCGTGCTGTAACAGCAGAAGGAATATTTGGTTCACCAATATCAAGCCGTCTCCATTAGCCCATTATTTAACTAACACACATGTACCAAGAAAGACATTTTTTAAAAAATTAACCTTCTAGTTAAACGGGTGCAGCCCGTGACTGCACAAGACTTGGCACAGAAAAAGAAAATAATGTCTCTGCGGCCCTTCCCTTCCAAAGGAAAGCCCGCGTGCCACGTAGTTGAAATGTCCATAAATGCACCAGTACTGACTTCACTTGCTTTGACTGGGCTGACACTGCAATCTGCTTACGTACCTGCTGGCTGTACAGCAAAGGGCGGTTTAGGTTGATTGCTGTGACTGATCTGTTCTCAGTCAGGGCTGTTGCTATTGCTGTTAGACACTGCGTACCCTGGAAATGAAAATAAATAAAGTCTTTAGAGAAACCTCTCCAATGTCTAGAACAAGCTACCAAATTACCATGACTTCTCAGAATTGATTGTCAGATCAATAACATCAAACTGGCTCAGATTGGAAATGCTATTATTTCTGCCTCCATGTGCTCTGGAGAGACAGAAGTGCAGCAGGCAAGTGCTTACAGACACAATGTGTTTTCTGATAATACCAATGCCAACTCCCTGCAGAACAGTGGAGTGGAATTAGACAAAGAAGTACAAATGACCAGGAAATTTGGCAACTCAGAGAATAAAAAGCAAGAATAATGTGTTTCAAAGATGCCTGTCCATTTAATTGATCCTGTATTTTGGTTTTCCTGATTTATGAATTAAAATCAGCTTGTGTGTGTTCCCTAAGGTCTTTAGTAAAAGCCGTAGGTGACATTTACCCATTAGGTAAATTCATATTAAATGTGATTTAATGCAGTACAGAGTAGTGAGGGTCTACAATACAGGCCAGTTCAGATTTTTGCATTTCCTTCTCATTTGCTCACTAATTTATATTTACATTATTTTCCAATTAGGCTGGTCTACACCCAAAGCCTCATCATTTTAAATCGTCTTTCTATCAACTCCCTACCAAGCACAAACATATTAAGCTTTCAGATAAATCCTACACTGGCTACACTTTCCTTGTTTATGTTTTCTTAACACCCTTCACAGTTTCTGAGAGGTATTCCTCCTTCTGGCTTAGGAGCAAATTCTGTAATTTCAGGAAACAAATAAAATTTTCATGTGACCCCAGCCATCTCCCTGCCTCCAGGTGACAGTCGTAACTGTTAGGTTACAGTCAAACTTGCTCCTTCTACCCAACACATGCTTAATTATCGCCTGGAAAGATAAACACCCTTAACAGGATGGCTGAGAGGGACCGATCTTAATTTCGCTTCTAGCTTGGTTAGAGCATGCTCCTGGAGGGCAACAAACAGCACCAAACTCTCCCAGGCAGAGAGAAGAGCCACTTCCAGCCTCCAGCCCCTCTGAGGCCATCACACAAGGACACACTGTCAGTCAGGCACTGGGACCTTGCACCAGGAGGAGGTTCACAGCTCCAGGTGCTACCTCCTGCTGTACCCCACAGGTTTTTAAAAGCAATCCACAGGCTTTTATTGCTAGAGTGCGAAGCACCCTGCTTAGTGCATTGACCCATTCTACCCTCCTGACCTTCCCTCTGCACTGCGTACGAAGTCTGAGCACCCAAATCTGGGAGGTGGCAAGTTATCCAAGATCAAACTGGGGGCCTTTCTACTCAATTCAGCACTCTTGTGCCTACGTCCTGTACAGAACGAGCTCTGATAGGAGGAACAGGGCTATGGGCCTGAGTGACTTTCAGGCTATATAGCACTGCACAATTTAGAGGACAAGAACCTCCAGGGAATAAGAAGTCCTTTCTTCAACACGAATCACACAGGGCTTAGCATTAAAAAAAATGAACAGCCGAAACAGACCTTGGAAAATGCGAAAGCCAAGCACCTGAATTCCCAGGGACACAGTGGCTCTAATACATCATCAGTTATGACTTCACAGGTGTTTCATGCAACCTGCCTTTCCAAGTATGCATTCAGTATTACATATTGTCTTACCTCGGGCCATCACAAAATGTAAAATCAATGGCAACAGATGGCATTTCCCCCTAATTAGGCACTGCAGGACCACTGTAATACCCTTGAAAGACTTATGTCATTGCTGATAATTTTACTGGGTTACTCACCATATCGCAATCTCCAAGATCCAGCTTCTCTAAGGTTGAATTAATCTGTAGCATTGAAGCAAAGAACATCCCACCTTTGTTTCCTATTTTGTTTCCAGTCATTCTCAAACACACAAGAGTTTCATTCCTCTAGACAAAATTGGAAAAAAAAACATCAATTCCTTTTAAATGGCCTGAAAAAAACGACACTGTGCTTTTTCCTGTGAATCCTGCTGGTTGTCACACAGAGACAAAACATCCCTCCAGAAGCTGTGTCTAAGTGATAACACTGACAAAGCAGTTGGCTCAGGCTCCCTCCACTGTAATCAAAGGCATGAGAGTCTGAAAGCAAAACTCAAGTGTTTGAAGATTTTTGCTTCTCCCAAGTTCATGAATTTCTCACTCATGAAAATAATCCAGGCAGATAATTCTACCTAAATTGGCAGCTGAAATGCCAATTATATCAAAACTGTTTTAAATCCAGTAAGCATATTTTAAACAAGAATTATAATTTGCTTTATTTTTCATAGACTTTTAAATCACATGACCAGTCAAAGCTGAGTGAAGCTGGTTGAC